AAAAAAAAAATCAAACAATGATGGAAAGTGCAGACACATTAATTCACATAGCAGCAATCTGACCTTTTTTATACCACTACTGGTGAAGTCAACCATGACCCTAAGCTTAAGTATATATAAAGTAAATTATTCCATTTTATTTGGGGAGTAAAATTTTCAAGAAAATCTAGGTAACTTTGAAAGCTATATAATACTTCCAAAAGACATGGTAAAAATGTTCATACTTTTTATGTAGCTTGAGAGTTACACAGGTCATTTTGAAAACATTACCACTGACCTTTCCCTAAAGAGGTAGGTACAATCATATCAAGCTGTGAATTCCTTCTCTGTTTAGTTCAGTCATGCCAACTGCTGATGACGAGAGCAGTGATTTGTGCACGATGTGCAGCCTACGTGAAGATGTTACTGTGTGTAGTTCTGTGCTCCACATTTTAAAAGGGATGTGGAGAAGTTAGAGAGGGTCCAGAGCGGGGTGACAAAGATGATAAAGGGCTTGGAAAGCAAGCCATATGTGGAGAAGTTGAAGGAGCTAGGCATGTTCAGCTTGTGGAAAACGTGCTTAAGAGGGAACATGAGAGCAGTCTTCAAAAATTTTAAGGACTGCCATAAAGCAGAGGGAAAGCACCTTTTCTCTCTTGTTGCAAAAAGGAAAACATGGATCAAAGACTTGAAGTTGCAGCAAAGTAAGTTTAAGTTGGATACCTGGAAAAACTTCTTCACTCTGAGAATAGTGAGGCAGTAGAATAGGCCACTTCGGGAAGTTGTGGACTCTCCATCACTGGAGGTATCCAGGCAGAGGTTGAACAGCCACTGGTTGGGGTGATCTAGGCACAGCTATGCCTATGTTCTACTGTGGGTACTTCCCATGTTTCCGGGCTTCACTGGTTGCCCCTGCCCCTCCACCCATTTCTCTGCTACATATGTCAGGGTGTTTTTAAGCCTCTCTCAGAGGCACTGGGTGTTGGCTACTAGGGCTGTGCGAAGCTTCAGTCGACGATTCAATTTGGCAGAGATTTGGCCCAATTCAGCAGCCGAATCTCCAAATACAAAATAGAATCAGAAGACCCATTAATCTCTCCTAATTGATTCAGAGAGATTCGATGATTCGGACATATACACAGCTTTAAATATTTTTTCTACATACCTCAAGGTATCAGGCGGTTTGTGAATGCTGAGATGGTGGGGCAGATGGAGTGTCCCACAGCAGTACAGGGGGTGCCCCATGCACTCTGTGTAGGACCTGGAAGTGGACTAGAGAGATTAAAGGGTTTCCTGATTAGATTCGGATTTGGAGATCTGGCTGCTGAATTGGGCGGAATCTCCGCCGAACTGAATGAGTGACCGAAGCGTCACACTCCACCCAGCTCAGCGACTATTGCCTCCTGGGTCTGGGGGGGCACCTGGGGTCACCCCCGATTGCCGAGCCGGGGGACGCAGGGGACCCCACCAGTGCTCCTGTGGGACACTCCATCCACCCCACCATCTCAATGTTCATGAGCCGCACCTGGTACCTCGGGGTATGTAGAAGAAAACATTAAAAATTGTGTCTATGGACAAATCTCTCATTCTCTGAATCAACATCAAATCTTCAGATTTGGATTCGGCCGAAGTTTGCCCAATTTGCCCACAGCGGGACAACGAGTCCTACAACAAAACACATGCGCAAATTTGTGCCACTACTATACTGCAAGCACACACCTCTGCTCATCTGGATGTGGCCTATGATTCAATTAAAGATACTTCCAGCCAGTTGGAGCTCAGCCCAGGACCCTCCTTACATTTTCAAAGGACAAATAAACCAAAAAGAAATGTTTTTAAGTAATTAGGGCCAAATGGGTTCTTTGTCCATTTGGACTGGGGAAACAGTTCCAGACAACTCTTTACCCATCAAATGTCCTTTAGCCCTCTTTGTCTGGAGCAATTTCAGCAGTGATCAACAGCAAAACATAAAAGCAGCAATATTACCAAAGGACAGATCTAAACTATGAAGTTATTTGGGAGGTTTTGAGCAAAGCTGCTGTAGCTATAAAGGGGAATTATTAAATCCTAGTTTCTGGAGAAAGGAATGGCATATCTACATCTCATCCATGGTAATCCTAAGGCACTGGCAAAAACAAGCTCCACCCAATCCACATGTATTGCTTGCAGAAAAACAGATTGTAACTGTCATGATCTCCGTCTCAGGGGAGTGCTCCTGGGAGTGGGTTTGGACACACCAGGCCCCAATCAAAACCACACAGCATTTTTTTCAGTGTGAGGTATGCGCAAAGTGTAAGTGAATATGTAGGCACAGCTTATTTCTGGGGGGCAGTCTTAGGATCATCACAGAAATATAGGCAAGCCTTAGGTATCACAGATAAAAGAGAGGGACAGCCATTAAATGAGTCCCACCCAGTTGAAAATTTAGCTTGACCATGCTACTTGATATTGCTTTTCCATGTAAACCAACAAAGATAATATTTGGGGTGCGGAGTAGAATTTTCAAAGGTTCCTAACTCATACTGACATACTGCATCTAGATGGATGCTTTCTTTTAAATGGAAAAAAGAGAGACAGGAATCATAATAGTCCATACTATTAAAATGCTGAAAAACGATGGAACTTTTCCCAACGGGCCCATTAGAACTGAGGAACATTTCCTAGTGCATGCTTTAAAGAAAAAGATTAAGCAGTCTAACCTTCAGCATGTCTCGGTTTGCCTCAGGTAGGAGGAGTACCAAAAGATTCAGAGCTTGCAGCTGTTGCTTCCTGGTGGGAAGATCTGCCAATGAAGCACATAAATTTCAGTTCTTTAAAAGTTTTATTTTTTCCCCTAAAAAAGCATAATTAAATGAAGTATTCCTGTAAAACACCAAGCGTGTAAAAGATCAGTTCTCACTGTTTGACAAGGAATTGGCAGATCCTTCTTTTCTGATGCTTAGGTCCCAGATGACTCAGTTGCTGTATGGTTCAGCACCACTTTGGCAGCATCTTTGACTCTTTACGATTCTTTATTTTGACATGCAACAATATGCAAGGGGAGAAAATATCATTCCTTCTTGCTTTGGCTAGCATGAAGATGTCTGAATATATATCACTGACTGAAATTACATTAACTGCTACCTGATCTTCCCAGTATACGTAAGTAGACTGTATATCATGTAGCAGGTGTGTGTTTTAACATTATGGATTTCTACTCAATGTTCATAAGCAACAGCAGCTGCACTGAGGAACCAATGATGATGAGATTAACAGCATGGTAGATAAAAATCAAATTGTTAAAAAAGGTAGAAATTATATTTTTATTTAAATTGATTTTTTTAGGATCGACATACATTGATTTTCTTTTAAAAATATAAACCTACTTACAATTATGAGAAAAGCAAGATTTAAGGAGGTGAGGTAATATCTTTCATTGGATCGACTTATTTATTTTGGAAAAAGGGGATACAAGCTTTCCGGTTTTGTGAGGCCTTCACCAGCTGTAAATCCTGACCCAAAGATGCTCAGGTGTTTCCATTAAAGGTATGGAGGCCCCAGGTTTCATAACTGTTCTTTCTAGCTATGACACACATGCTTGAACTGTGTGTGTGATACTACACACAGAGATGTGGGGCAGAAAATTTTCCAGTGCTTTATTTTTCTGTGGGAAATTTTCCACTTCTAAAAATTAATTGTTTCATAAAATTCATTAGTAACAATAATGGATACCAATACAATATTAGGCAAGCTTGGTAATTTCAAAGTTATAATTAATGTTTTTCAAGTGATTATCCCTAGGAAGTGTGAGAGACAGTACATATATGTTTTACTGATGTGTAAACAGGAGGGTAAATATACTCACATAGTAATCCAAACCAAAAATCAAGTTATGAATTCACCTAACTGGCTGTAGGTCAAATCAAAACCAAAGCATGGCATATAACACACAATTCCTTGGGTATGCTAAAATTAGTGCCAAAAATTTGCAATGCCTTCATTTTTTTTCTTAAATTTAAACAAACAATGTAAGGGAAGTACATATTATTGTCAAATATTTCAGTTGAACTACTTGTGACTATTGGGACATAAAATTAACACGGGGGTACTTTTTTAGTGTTGTTTACTAAATATAAATCAAATTAACATGCCGCATCAGATCACACTCTATTTATGGCATTGGAAAATTTTCCAATTCAAAATTTTCTGAAAAACCCACATCTCTGACTAGACAGCCTGGTCATAGGTGGGAGCCTTAACAAATTACTTCCCCAATACTTGTGATTTCAGGGGCTTTTTTGCCAGTTAAGTTCCCGAGGCACCTACAGGGCTTCTAGGTGCTTAAACCTATCAGAATCCCCAAACTAGGCCTAGCTTGCCCACAGAGCCTGATCCCCAGATCCTATTAAGTATCTAAATGGACTTAGGTGTCTAAGTGTAATTCTATTCTGCCCTGGCCAGCTCCCTGAAAATCCATTAATGCTTTTGTAATTTACTGAGTGCATCTACACGAGATGCAAGAAGCACATTAATTCTACTGCACATTAGCATGTCACATCAAAAAAGTGTGTGACTTCCAAAAGGAAGTACTAAAGCCCAGCAACATGTAGACCAATGAGTATTTAATTGTTCTATGCAAAGTGCAACAGCAGGGACTTGCCACAGAATATCCAATAGGCTGGTGGTCAACATGGGGCTCCTACACCTTGGATAAGTTACTAGAAACCAATCTCCTGTTCTTCCATCCCACACGTATTTTGTGAGAAAGGGCTGGTTTACATCACCTTGAACCCAGGAGGTGGTGGAATATTGAGAATTAAGTCTGTAACATTGTAATCCAGAAAAATGCATTTATGTTCTGAAGAGGAGCAATGCTTAAGATGCAACCCTTCCTCAGCTTTTCCTATTGGCTAATCTCACATCAGCTGGTTGGCTCTGGTGGGTCACATTCTCAGGTGTCAGATTTAGTAGCTGCAACTAGGTAGCCATCCACCTAAAAGTTCGGTGCAATAACGACAAGTGTTGCAACTCCTAAATCCTCCTAGTGCCAATTCGTTCCAAGTTGAGAAACTAATTTAGAAGTTGAAAAAAAGCAGTAAAGCTTGTTGTTTTCCCTTTCAGTTTGGGGATTATAATGTGGTATGAAAGCTATTTGTTGTAAAATCTTCTGGGATTAAATGGGCAACAACAACAATTCAGTTCACTCACAACAAATAAAATTTTGTTTAATAAATCACTTGGTGGTAATGACTAACCATGGATTAATAAACTTGCTTTTTTTCTTGTGTATCCAGCATGTAAATAAAATAATTCTGCAAATCTGGGTTATTTTCCATTTTATTACAAACTCCAATTTGTGTCCAAGGAGATATAGTTTGAGACAAAGAAAATAAAAAATAATCATTTGGTAAATAAGAGATACCATTTCTAGCAGTCTCCAATATAATCATGTAAAAATTAAAAGGTGAATAAGGATATTATAAATGTATATAACTGCATAAATAAAATATATCCTTTTGTTTAACAAAAACTAAGCATATTTATTGTAGCAGCTATCTTTTTCTCACAAATTAACACGTTTTAATGGTTATCAAACCCTTTTTAGGAAAATAAGTAAAAAATGTAAATGGAAAGTAAGACTACTTAAATAAAAGTTTCTTGCTTGCTGATTTAAGTCATGATTAGAAATCAATTATTCAAATCACATTAAATCAATACTTAGGTTAATAGCAATTTTGAGTATGGTTTTTTTGTGTGCTGGAGACATTCAGGAGAATCGTAACATCTGCACTTATTTTATCATCCTCTCCCCTGCAAAACAGACAGGTTCATTTCAAATAGATATAAGTAAATAAACACAAGCCCACATTCTCTGGCTGTTATCTTTGGCTTGTAATACCACCCTTGGCACAAGACAGATTACCATATTGTAGAAGGGTAAAGCGCATTATGTCAGCTCTTACATACCCCTCCCGAGACTGGTACAGTATAGAGGGTGTACACAAAACCTCCTTACTCCCCTTTATCTCTAGCTGTTGGAACACCAAAAGATGATGGCAGCCAGCTTAATGTATCTCTGGGGATCCCCCCACAATGTAAAAGTATAAAGTATCTCAGCATAACATAAGTTTTACTGCCCAACAGCTACAGAATTTGAGTGTGCAATGATGGCTGAAACTCTTCCCCAACTCAGCCCTTTCTTGTGCTCTTTACGAGAGCCTAGAATGTGAATCACTTTCTCAAGACTGCTAGTTTCAGAGACGGTGGGCACAAATGTTTGCATATTTCTGTCCGTCTGTCTTTCAAGGTCTCCTGAATTTGCTCCTCCAAAAGTAACTAGTCTTTCTGGTCATGGATATCAGGACAGGGATCTCTCTGAAACGAGTCAGTTATTCCTGTGATGGTCAAAAGAGTTAACATAAAATGTAGGCACCACTCCTGATGGGTTTCTAAAGCGTCACAAAATCTGAACTCCACACTTTCACTGAGTTGCTCTTTTTTTAAAGTAACTGGTTGCTTTTCAGATGCTGTATCAATCAACAGAACTTGAGAGATTCTCAGAGCAAACTTGCAGCTCTTTAAGAAACTCCTGGTAACCTTTAGCTTTGACTATTTTACCACAATGTTTTCCATCACACAATTTTTTCTGTCTCCAAGGCATCCATCTTGCCATGTTTGATTTACTGATGACCTATCCCCTCCTTGCTGTTTCTTTAAGCAGACTGATAATTTATTGCTATCACGTGTTGCTACCATTGCCTGTATTCATCTTTTTCTTTACTATGAAAGCCATAAAATGACATTCTTTTTGTAACTCACCTCATCACACTAACCAGTATTATAAAATCTAAACAGGAAGTGACACTGTATATTTTCGTTCATATGGGAGCTAATAAATGGATGGCCCCAAAAGGGTATCATTGGTATAGCAGCAAAACAACAGTCAATCTTTTCTGGAAAAAAAAAATCTCGTTGCTATTTCATTTATTCCTCAGACTCACTCTCAGCAGCAAAACAAACTTTATGGCAAAGGAGTATTTGTCTGCGTTTAAAAGGGTGATGTTTCTGGTATCACCAGTTTAGATCTGAGATAAACAACGATGCTGCTTACACTGTACATCCTGGAAAGCTTTGAGATATTCCACAGTAAGCAGTGGCTGAGGGAGCTCTCGTATGAAGAGTTTTAAAAGACTTGCAGCGTCATGTTGCTTTACCATTTCCCAGTTGAAAGTCCCTTCATAAAATTTTGCTTCCAGTTCTTGGCAAAGACTCTGAAAGAGAGCAGAACAGAAACAGCTACTATGCTGGGTTTTGTGCTGTTGGAAGAGGTATGCATTATGCACATAGCAATTTTTTCCACAATTTGAAAAAAAAAAAATCATCTGAAATATCATTTACCACCACCTGCTACTGGCTACTTTTGCTACCAAAAAAAAAAATAAAAATACTGGACTAGTATTAGACATGCACAGTTAAAAACCTAATGCAGAGAGAAAATATACCTAACAAATCATATAGGTCTGAATCCTACTGTGCTGTCTCATAGCAATATGGTGTCATCTACAGGACAAACCCACCTAAGGGCCCTATAAATGTGCAACTCAAAGGCCACTGCTATATATTATACTTAATAAGAGATTAACCAGTGAAGCATGCTTTAAGTTGTGACCAGGCCACACGTTAAAGCAATTAATAGCATCATAATACAAGGAATAGGCCACAAAGTCATTCCACAAAAAATGTGTGATAACTTTGTGGCTGGTTCTTATGCCATTAAACATGTGGCCAGGTGTGCCCCAGTGGCTGGGAACCCCGTCTGATGCACAATCTCACAATCACACTTCCTACCATGCACATGTGGCATTGTAGGATTGCCATGACTGTGGATTGTACATCAGATCCCACTGTGCCTTATTGTTGATGCAGGGGGAGCCCAGGATGATCATCACAGGCTCCTGCACCAGCAAGTAGCAAACTCCACACAGCTGGGAACCCCATCAGTTGACGGGGCTCCCAGCCACAGGGGCACACCTGGCCACATGTTTAATGGCATAAGAACCAGCCACAAAGTTATCACACATTTTTTGTGGAATAACTTTGTGGCCTATTCCTTGTATTATGATGCTATTAATTGCTTTAATATATGGCCTGGTCACTATAACAGAAAAAAATGCCGGTGCATCAATGACAGGGTTCAGTAAGTATGTAATTGAGTTCTACAGAAATTAACCTAGAGCTGACGGTACTTGATCAAGAATGTTTTCCTTTCTGAAGGCTTTCAGTAGCATCTTATAGAATTTTAGGTCAAAAATACAATTACTACAGAGAGCATATTATCTTTGATTACTTTCTGCAGTGGTTTTCCTAGAAAAGTAAATGTGTGCAACATTTTGGAAAACCGGTAAGTTTGGTCAAAGGACAAGTTCTTTCAAGTGTTTGATTCTGGTTAATATTGTTGCTATTTAATGAATGACGCTTTGCACAGAAACACCTGAAAACAAACAAACAAACAACTCAAATGAGCAAACAAAAAGACTCCCAGATACAACAGTAAAAACTAAGGACCAAACAAAGGTGTGAAGATTTTTAGTTACTGGTAAATAAGGCCAGTTACCATCATATTCTGTCCCTTCCATCGTTTCATATGAACTAGCTGCTGGACAAAGTTGTGGGTGACAGAGAATGACAGACATCTTTGGGCAGCTGAATCTGCTTAAATGATCTTTCTGTTCAGAATTTAAGGCCAATTCAAACCATCTTTGTAGCAAACCACCTCTTGATGTAAATTAACCTGTGCTTTTGGTTTTCTGAATTAAGGCTATTTTGGGTTACAGTTTGAGTATAATTGGCAGCCACTCTGAAAAGTATCAGTGTGAACAGCAATGCAAGTAAGATCGTGAATACTGTGAGAAACAGTCGTACTGATGTTTCTAGAGATAATGAAGGAAGTTTTTTACTGTAGGTAGCCTGCTCTTTGCATACCACAAATTGAATCTAGCCTGTCAAATGAGCTAATGAAGTCAGAACGGAGTTTCCAAGTAGCATGCAGACTACATAGGAATACACTGTTCAGAGCATACAACTGATTTGGATATAGGTTAAGAGCATGGGAATTTTGGCTAGCCTAGTTCAAATCCTTTTTTAAGATTTCAGCACCAATCGTACCATCAGACGGAACTAAAACCAGTAAACGAGGGTACTGAGAGTCAGTGTAATCTTTTACCTTTACTCTTGCTGCAACTCCTGGTATTCGAAGAAGTCCTTCTGTATCCAATCTTGCCTCTTCTATCTGGGAAATCAGCTGTCAATCAACATAAATGAAGCTGCATGAAGCCAAGACACTAATTAAAATGTTCTATGTAGATAGCTTTAGGACACTATATTTTTTTGTCTTTTTTAATATCAAGGCTATAAAAATGGGCTACCATCAATACAAACAAATTCAAATATACATTTCCTGCAGGAAACACCTGATACTAGCCTTGTACTTTTCATCCACACTATTAAAAGGTTGTTTGTTTTTTTAATGGAAATTGTAAACATCAACCTTCCTATAAAAAGATAAGGTATAAAAGGAATAAACTGCTTCTCTAAACTTCTCTGGTTTCAAAAATAAATATTCAGTTTCTAATCTCAGTAAAAATGGGCATTACTAAAAACCATTAGCTGTAGATTGCTCTGTATTACGTTCTTATAGGCACTCTTATTTACAACTTCACAAAGGAAAATCTAAGTGCTTGCAATCACTGAAGAGCCTTTAGGTTTGAAAAAAAATTATATTCTCATAAAAGACACAACAGAATTGGTAATCCTATTCATGCTTAGATGAGTTGGTACAATCAACGAAAACATATTCATACTGTGCATGTCATGTACTTAATACAAGATATATATCACTGTGCTCACCAAAATACATAATAATCATACAAAGTACTGTATAAATATTAAATGTTGACTACATCTATTTTATCCAATAGATAATTGAAACACTAGGGCAATACTTCTACTATACACCTTATATGAACTAAGGTGAACTATAAACTATGCAGCATTTTTTTTCATGGTTGCATAAACAAAAAAGGATGATCTACTTTACTGTATTTATGTTAATGGCACTGATCACAGGAGATATGAAAAAAACAGGTGTCCTGAGCACATCACAAATGCCTGATCATTCTAAATGTATTTTTCCAGTTAAAAACAGGATCACAGGAAAGTAGGGCTGAAGGGGACCTCACATGGTCATCTAGTTCAGCCCCCAGCTCAACGCAGGATTGCCCCTGACTAAACCTTCCTAGTCAAGTGTCCGTCCAACCCGTTCTTGAAAATTTCCAAGGATGGAGATTCTACAATTTCTCTAGATAGCCCATTCCAGTGCTTAACACTCCCCCCCCAGTCAAAAAGTTCTCCCTTATAACTAATCAAAGCTTCCTTGGTTGTAGCTCGAGCCCATTTTTCCTGGTCCTGTTCTCTACGGCCACAGAGAGAAGCCCATCTCCACCCTCTCTGTAAATGTCCTTCAGATAGTTGAACATTATCAATCCCCACTTCAGTTTTCTCTTCTCCATACTAAATCTTAGTTTTTTCAGCCTTTCCTCATAAATCTTACTTCCCAAGAACTTAGTTATTTTTGTCACTCGGTGCTGAACTCTTTCCTTCTTGAAGTGTGGGCAAAAAACTGCGCACACAGCTCCTGGTGAGGCCTCACAATTGCTGAATAGAGTAGAAGAGTATTACATAGAGGAGGCGTTGATGTGTTAGAGCTTTTGGCAGGGATAAGTGAAATATAATATTTTCTAGGGCTGTGCAAAAGTTCACCAGCAGTTTCATTTCGACACTGTTTTGACTTGTTTTGAGCATAAAACAGCAAAATCGAAATGAAACAGAGAGC